AAAAATAGATCAGAAGTATTTTTATAGTAAAATTCAGGGCAAATTTGCCCTGAATTTCAAACGGTTTAAGGGATAGTAAAAGAAAGACGTTAATTAAAGAAATCCTTCAGAATGCTGAGGGTAGAATTTCTTTTACATGTGATGCTTGGACGTCACTCCAGCAACTCAGATATTTAGCAGTTACAGCACATTTTTTTAACAAAGAATAGAACCTTATTTCTATTTTACTATCATTCCCATTAATATCTTATTCACACACTAGAATTAATATTGCTAATTGTATCAAGGCAGAAGTAGATGAGTGGTTTATTACTACTAAGGTAATTAGAAAATAGTTTATGTTTTACACTGGCATTTAAGTTTAATTAAAATATTATACTCTATTATTACAGTTACAAACAATTACACTTGACAATGCTGTGTCAAATTATGTTGCAATTTGTGAACTGGCTGACCTTATTTCTCAAGACTTATATATTGATATTAATGAAGAGCTCTTTCATAATCGCTGTCTTGCCCATATTATAAATCTCATTGTAAAGGATGGTTAAAGCAAATCAGAGTAATTATTAGAAAGGTAATTATATATATTAATTAAAAAAAAAACTGATATCAATTCTTTTTATTTAATATAAAGATCACTATAATAATATTAGATACTAACAATTATTATTAAATTTGGTTAGATTTGTGGCTGTATTAAAGCAATATACACATCACCAAAGCGACGTCAGATATTTTTGGATATTTGTGAATCAGAATCCGTAAAGCCTATAATTCCACTATTAGATTGCGATACTCGCTGGAACTCTACGTTTCTGATGTTACAATCAGTTCAAGAGTTGTAAATGTAATTATTAGAATGAAAGATAGAGATAAAATATTTCTTGACATACCTAATGATAAAGAATAGAAAAATGCAGATACTCTATGTAATGTTTTAAAACTATTTTATGATTGTATGTGTTTTATTATATTATAAGTTCATTGTAATGAATATAATTTGTAATACAAATAACTAACTTAAATTATTTTTTAAAATAATAATAGATATGATGAAAGCATCAGCAACTTCATACCCAACTTTCAATAGCATCCTTTTCTCTGTTTGGAATATTTGTACTCATCTCTTGGGTATGAAATCTCATTCAGATAGCTTTATTTGTAATATCTGTCAAGCCATGATCGAAAAGTTTAACAAGTATTGGGAATATAGCAGCTTCTTATATATGACTGCATGTATTCTTGATCCTCATTACAAATTGCAATTCATTTCATATTATTATCGTGAAAAGGAAAAATTGTCATTGTATAATCTTAATGAAAAAATGCAAGACATTCGATTAAAGTATGTATACTTATCAACCAATATTATATAAATATTTTTTTTATTTTTATTTTAAAATTATTAATAAAAATTAGGTTTGAAGATTTATATCTTTGTATATATTATTCCCCATCAACTAGTGATCATGATAATAGAAATATTGTTAATACTGAAAATAATACCTCAATGTTTGAAAATCATATTGATAATTTCTTTGAATATGCTGCAAAACAAACCTGGGCTAGCAAAAATGATCTACTTTCTGAAGTGAAACAATATTTAGATGAACCAATTGCTTTGAAAAATATCAATATACTTGAATGGTAGAAACATAATCAGGATCGGCTTCCAAATTTATTAGCAATAGCTTGAGACTTTTTAGCTATACCTGCTATAAGCGTTGCATCTGAACAGATGTTTAGCTGTGTAGGTTGTATTATTGACAATAATCGTACTTTATTAGATCCAGATACAATAACTGCGCTAATATGTCAAAGAAATTGGTTAGGTATGGCAGATAAGTATAGCTGGAATTTATAAATTTATTAATGAATGGTTCTTAATTTAGTTTGGCTATGATCTTTTAATTTTTTTTAAAAAAAAATTCTGAGTAATTTTTTTTTTTTGATTTTTATAAAAATTCTGAGTAAATTTTTGCGTTTTTTTGATCTTTATAGAGATTATGGGTAAATTTTTTTCTTTTTTTGATCTTTATAAAAATTCTAGAAAAATTTTTTTTAGAATAAAGCTAAAATTTTAATAGAAATCAATGTTTTATCTTTTATTTGTTTATTAGTATTTCTGATCTATATAATCTAAAAGATTTTATAAATAATATTCGAATCTGATCTTTATTAACTACAATGCGTCATGCTTAATATCTCTGTGAGTTTTGGTAATTATGATCTCATATTGTAATTTTGAACTTTAATTTGGTTTCTAAAATTTTATATAATTTGTCATTTACATGTAATAATAGGTCAGTTAGAAATTGGCTTCATTATAGAAGTTTGAAAATACCATCAAATGTTTCTTGATTGCAACGATTATACAAACTAGTAAAAATCTAAAGATTTTTATGTAATGATAAAATTTATTTGCAATGAAATAATATTTGGAATCTTATAAAAACACAACTATTGATTTCAATTCTAAGACAATAGATGTATTAGTAAAAATCTTACGAATTCTATTTTGATTTCTTTTAAATCTTAGTTTTAATCAATCCGGATATAAAGTAATTATACTGTTAGAGGCTCTTTATAGTAGATATTTACGATAATTCGATTTGTACTAAAAAAACATAAAGAGAATCGCAAATTTTTATGAAATACTGAATAAACCATATTTGCTAAAACTTAAATATAAAATTCTGAAATTACATAAGAAATTGATATAGTTGGGGCCTATGGGCAGTTCAAAGGGTATCCGTATCCTAATAGGCTGGGCACAGGTGTTAAAAACCAAGCCCTAGGGTAAGGATAGAGCTTAAGCAAATGAACCCTTGCACAAATGGGTAGGGCTAGGGTATTACTAGTACCTGACTCTACCTGGCCCATGTGGAAGCTTACAATTAACCATGTGCTAAATCAAACTTCAAAAATTTTCCAGAACGCAATCTGGTACACATTTTCGGGTTGCATCTGATTAGCTAGTCATAAAACATCATTAAATAAATAAATGCATCACAAAGAGCATTTATACACAGATGGCATATTTATTATAATTATGATCAAACATCATATCATAGTAAGTATATCATTTCTAAATAAAGTAAAACTAAAGTTTATAGAGTGCATGCACCGTATGTACGTACGTATATATCTGGCTCTATAAAAACATTACACTGATCATTCTAGAATCAATAATTATTCAATTAATTTTATAAGTATTCTGGGAATAATGATAACAGCTATAATAAAATAGATAAGTATATGTATGGGTTTAGTGAATGATGTTATATTTAACAAGAAAATGTTATTAATTTAATATTGCTTTATTAGAATCAGATTATTATTTATTAAGAAATTTTGATTTAATATGCCTTACAAATGATGAATATTAAATACTGTATACAAGAGAATCAAATTTTATTAAGATAAGTAATATTTACAAATAAATTATGAATGAATATTATCTATCTTGAAACTATACTAATGTTTTATAACTACTTAGTAAATCAGGAATATAATTTTCTAATCTAATTATTATGCAACTTGGTCAAATTGTTCAAGAGCACCAGGAAAGCATCACTTTAATAACTTTTTTACTATCAATTAGATTATGTAATAAAGACCAAATATTTTCAATCATTTTTAAGTTATAAAATTTGGTTTAAATCATAATTTTTGTCATCTTTAATATAAATTCACATGGTAGTTACAACGATTTATATGGAGAGTGAAGTATTTCTATATAGTTCTTATTTTTGATAGGACATACTTTTCCCGTCACTAGTTAAAGTAACAAAAATTAATATATAGTCAGATTATTTTTTGTCGATTAATTGATTATCAAATGTGTTGAATGTATGCTGGTTAATGTCAGCATTCTGCTAACAATCGGTTTGCCAAATAGATATTCAGCCAGCTAAATAAGTATTTAACTTGCTAAATACCTAGTTGGTGAACAGAATGCTAGTAGAATGCCAACATTAGCCCGCATATATTCAACATATTTGACAACAATTAACCAAGTAAAAATAATCTAACCCAATCTAAAATAAAATTAAACAGAAATGAACTTGAATATTTATTTTAAACATTCAAATTAATAAATCTCCTTATACTTACAAGGTTAAAAATTTTGCTCATTGAGAATAAAAATATTCAACAGAACTTCAAATAAATAAAAATCCATTAACTTTCTATTGCTAACTGATTTATGATCTAAAATGTAAAATTTCACGAGTTTGATAGTTTAAATAATTAGATTAATAAATGCTCTTTATTCTTATGCACTATAATATTATAAACAAAATGAATTAAATAAAGTTAAAACGAAAGTTATAACTATGTCGAATTCTGTTTAACCAAGTTGCTAAAAATTTATCTTCAATGTTTTGAATATTAACTAATTTATCAAAAGGAATCCATTCGATTACGTCTTTATAAGATGTAGCTTTAAGTTGAAATTCTTTAATACAATCATCGATATTCTTATTTTCACTTGTCCATTGTTGCGTTGTCTTCTGAGAGTCACATGCCTGACACCAAGCTTCAGAAGTATTATATTGGTCGCAATTCATACATTTTCCATTCTGATCTTTTCTTTAGAACCAAACTCATTAAATACTAACATATATTCATTTGTTGCAGTGTTTTGAGTAAGCCCATACACTTTAAGCATATTATTCTTTAACTGTACATAATCTACAAACTTATTAAACATGCAAATATAAATTAAAATGAAGTTATGGTATATCTTATGCAATATCATTAACTTATTGAGTATTTATCTTACTTTTTTTAACATATCAGTTAAATTTTGTGCTATAGTTAATATTTTAAACTTCACTTTATATGTTGGTATACGTAACTATAAGGTGTTTATCAAATCGGTAAATCAAACCATAATAATAAGTAGGGTTATATGTATTATTTATTATTGAGGATTTTTTATCAGTTATTTTAATAATTTCAGAAATTCAGAAAATTAACTATACAGATTGTTTTCTTTATTAGTGTAAATATACCGTAGATTTTTTTGAAACAACTACTAAAGGTACACTTTTTGAGCGAAGAATATAGTTTTTTTATGTTAAAAATTTTTTTTAATTGATAGCTTTTATTACGCTCTTTTCAACAATAGACTCGGTTTTACAATTTTCATTAGCTTATGTTTATCAAACTTAAAAAAAGTTTACTTTACACTGTTAAAGAATTTACTACTTATCAATAGTATAAATCGAAAAATGGCTTTATTAAATTAAAATAGACAATTTTCTCTATCTTTTAAAAAAAATTAGACCATTAATCATTATAATAATTCGAGAGAAAAACGTACTGAAAGTTAATAGTATCTGCAATAAATTCAGATTTTCATAAAAAATATTTATCATATGCGACCCTAATTAATGTTTGATTTTACTAGTTTGATGAACACTCTAATGTAACTATGTATATTTATATCTAAGTATGTCTTTATTTTTTATATATCATATTCCATCCAACCAAGTTACAAAAAATTTATCACCAATGTTTTGAATATCAAAAGGAATCCATTCGATTATATCTTTATAAGATGTAGCTTTAAGTTGGAATTCTTTAATGCAATTATCAATATCTTTATTTCCACTTGTCTATCCTTGTATTTTCTTTCAAGGGTCACATGTTTGATACCAATTATAAGAAGTATTATATCACTTGCAATTTGCATATTTTCCATTATCTTTATCGCTTTCAAAACTAAATTCATCAAATACTAACATATATTCATTTGTTTTGGTATTTTGAGTTAATCCATAAATATGTTCACTTTCTAACTGAGCATGATTTGTAAACTTATAAAGAAAATCAAAACGGAAGTCAAACCAAAAGTTAAAACAAAAGTTCAAGTGAAAGTCAAAGTGCAATCAAAGTGAAAGTTAAAATGAAAGTCAAAGTGAAAGTTAAAGTGCAAGTAAAGTAAAAGTCAAGGTGAAATTCAAGATGAAAGTCAAAGTAAAAATCAAAGTGAAAATCAAAACAAATTTAAGTATAATAAATATAACTTTACTGGCAATCAGTTTTCAAAATTGATATAAGTCAGCAAAATCTAGTTACTATTTTTTTGGGTGACATTATGTAAGTTGAGATTAAATATATAAATAGAATAGTTGATATTAGTACTCCTACAAACCAGACTCGAACTAGACTTTAGCCAAGTTTGAGTCTGGTCTAATTTTTGAACCGGACTCAGACTTTTATATTCAAACTTTTTAGTCAAGTCTGAGTCTGGTCTGGATATGATCCAAAATCTGCAGACTAGTCTGAGTTCAAATATTTTTTAATGCTGAATATAGAGATTGTACCCATATAAAAGCTATTTGGCTAATCTGTATAATATCTGTTAACCTGGTCATAGCTATTATTACTCAAGTAGCCTATATAACATCTATTACAGCTGTTTTTATAATTCCTAAGATACTTGTAACAAATTAGCTGAATAATTTTTCAGCTGATCCGGTTAAGTTGTTGTTTTGGCATAAAAGATTCAATAAAAATTAGTACATATGTCAAAATAATAACTTAACCGGATCAGCTGAAAAAGCATTTGGTTAATTTTTTACAAGTATCTCAAGAATTATGAAAACAGCTATAATCTAATCACAGCTTATCTATGAATAA